CCCAAAAGCCAAACCAGAGTCCGTGGTCTACCATAATCACACAAAGGTTGGCGTGCAAACCACATGCGCTCCGCAGGTTACCAGCCCCTCCGCCGCTGAAGAGACTCTTTGGCACGGCAAAGAAAACAGCGCCAGGTGCTTGATGTTTGTCACAAATATGAAAAGCTGGTGTGCGGGAAATGTTCAGGGGTAATCAATCAATTTCTGTAAATAAAACTGTCATTTTTAACCTGTGTGGTAAAATAGTCGTGTTTATTTTACTGATTTATGACCACAAATAATGATATCATACGATACACCCTTTAAAAAATATACTTTAGACCTGATATATGGTCTACATTTCAGTTGATGACATCATCACTGCTCATGCGTTCCGTTAGGAAAACTGTCACCCGTCAAATTGACGGCCAATGTGAGTTCTAGTAGGATCAGAATTCTGGGAGTCCTAGGGTTAATGAGCAACTCTGGCTCTTTAATTCGCTTCCAAATCCAGCGTCTTTTCTGTTCTTCTTTCAGGAAGCCACGTCAGACAGGACAGCATGGAGCCCAGCGACTTCTGGGACGACGTGTCAAACTGTCGCTGTGGTGACCGTCTGACGACGCTAGAACAACGTGCCAACCGGCAGCACCAGCGCTGCTTGGCTCACTCCTTGGTCGGGACGCCGAACTACATCGCGCCTGAAGTTCTGCTGCGCAAAGGTAGAACTAAGAGGAATAGGCCAGCTGATGTTTCTGTTCATCACTGATGTTCCTCCCTGTTCACCGTCCTGGTTTGGTTGTATTTCCTCGTAGGCTACACTCAGCTGTGCGACTGGTGGAGTGTGGGAGTGATTCTCTTTGAGATGTTGGTGGGACAGCCGCCCTTCCTTGCTCCGACGCCTACTGAGACTCAGATTAAGGTCTGTGAAGACGAAATATTTATATATTTAGCAATTCATGTAGATGGGAATGTAAACAAAAAATCTACTTATCATTAGACTTAACAGTGACAGCGTTTCAGCGGGTCATTAAAAATAATTAAAAGTTATTAAATTTTTTTTTTTTTAGTTAAGGCCTTAATCGGTATTAAAATTCATTAAATGTGATTATCATGGCATTTAAAATGTTTTTTTTTATTTTTTATTTACATTTGTAAAAGCAGTTTCATCAGATGTACTATATCGCAATAATATATTTGCCCAGAACCGCTTCCGGTTGATCTTAAAGCCGTATGTTCAGAAAAAGAAGCTTGAGGCGGAGAAAAAGCAAGAGAATGGGGAAAATACTAATTTCAACAAAAGTGGCTAGAAATCGAGGTATTTGGGACATGGTAGCAGCCTGTCTAAGAGCATTATTTTTGGGAAGTAAAGCGTCTTTAAACTTGGAAAAGTCCAGTGGATTGGTTTTTTAATTTTTTTGGATGATAGGTGATCTTTAACTTATTAATTGATAACTTGCCTCCCCAAGCTGAAATTGTAATTAAAGACTAAATAAAAGCTAAAGTTAACCCTCCTCACATTTTATGATTTCTACATTTAACAAGGAAAAACGCTTATTGTTAAAATTTAGATTTGTGTCCAAACAAATCACAAGAAACAAGCATCCAGATGTTTAATTTATTCTCTTATTCTGGGATGATGTCAGCTGGACTGACTTGTTTTAAATCAGAAATTTTACCATGATAAAAGAAAAAAAAAAATGGCTGCTGTGTTGACTGAAAGCAGTTCCATTAACTAAACCTGTGTTAGATATGTGTTATGATCATTGTCCCACATGAGGACTTAATCTTATCTGACAATCATTGATTCAAACGCCTCGGATGAAGAGGAACCGGTTAGGATGTTTAAAATTTCCTCAGACCGAGAAGGAAACTGAGATTAATTTACGCTCACATGATGATAAAAGTTTAATGGACAAACATTCAGCTTTTTGAGCTCAAACCAAAGTAGAGCTTTTAAAATATGCAAATGCAAACCAGCTGTTAAGCATGGTGATAGCAGTATCATGCTGTTTAGCAGCAATGCAAAAAATGGGTTTAATAGTTGAAAGTTAACTTTATGGTATGCAGTAGAAAGCATCTTTTTTTTAAGGGTACATGTAACAAACTTAAGTGGCTTTTTCTTCCTTTCAAGGACAAATTATTCTGCTGTTTTGTTTGGTATAGAGAAAATATCACAACCTCCAGACCCCCGTGGTATCGATCATGAAATGCCCAAATTACAAACCTATCATTTTGATGGTAGAGTAAATGTTTAGAGAGGTGGTCTGATTTTTGTCCCTTTCTCTGCACCGTACTTCATGACGGTAACTGTCCTGTCGTCTACCTTCACATTTGTAGGTCATTAACTGGGAGAGCACGCTACAGGTGCCGCCACAGGTCAAACTGAGTCCAGAGGCGGTAGACATCATCGGCCGCCTCTGCTGCTCAGCCGAGGAGCGTCTGGGTGCAAACGGCGCCGGAGAGATCAAGGCTCACCCCTTCTTCTCTGAGGTCGACTTCTCCAGCAATCTGCGCCAGCAGCCGGCGCCCTACCGGCCAAAGATCGCTCACCCCATGGACACGTCAAACTTTGATCCTGTGGAGGAGGAGGGCGGCCCGGGGGCGTGGAGCGACAGCGGAGACAGCACCCGAGCCTTGGACGCGCTCTGCTCTCCGCACGGGAAGCACCCAGAGCACGCTTTCTACGAGTTCACATTCCGTCGGTTCTTTGACGACAACGGCTGCCCCTTCCGCTACCCGAAACCCCTGGAGGCCAGCGTGGGGCTGAGCGCCACTGCAGCTGCCGCCATGGGCCCAGAGGAGGGGGAGGATACGGATGAGGACGGAGAGGTGGAGGAGGATGATGAAGAAGAGGGAGAGGCAGGGGTGGGATGCGAGCCGGTGTACGTCTAGAACCGATTTCCTTCTGCTACCTATCTCGACTCCTGGAGGTGTCTGTCAGCGTGGCGAGGCTGAGCATGTCTGAGAAGCAGCTGCAGGATGGAGGGGACATCGCCACCTAGTGGGCCGACCGCAAACCGACCTCCCATCTGGGACCAACAAGCACCAACTCTGACTGCATAAAGAACGGAGAGGCAGCAGACTCAGGAGCCTCTGCTGCTTCCTGGAGTTTCTTGTCCCATTCCTTCTGCCTTCGGTCTTACGGACGATTCAAACACAGGAGCTGCTTCCTGTTCTATCTGAGCTGCTTTCCGTTCGCGTTTGGCCACGTGAAGACGGCATCCAGTCTACAGACTGATGGTGCCTGAATCACAGCTTCTGCAAAATAAGCTAAAAGACATTCACTCACAGGGACACCCATGCTCCCTCAGTATAACTCAAGATTGTAAAAGTTGTTTCTGATGTACAGCAGCACCTTTACCACATATTCATTCACCTCAAACTTTTTCACGTCCACAAACCTCCATTTTATCTGGACCAACACACAGTAGCTCATGACTGGGAGTGGAAGGAAAGGAGTTTTCATGGCACATCTACCAGCTTTGGTTACCCAGGGACGGTTTTTCTCTGCTAAACGGCTCAATATATTTTAGTCAATAATCCAGGTTGTTTGTTTAAATTCTCAATTTAGTTCCAGACTTAAGGGCTGGTTATACTCCCCACAGCAGTGTGTTACAGTGAGCTTGTCACAGATGTTTTTGATTTATGCACAATATTGAAGCATGCGCTGCAAAAACAATCAAGAACTTAGTAAAAAAATATTGAATTGAGTGTATTTCCCCTTAATTTAAGTAGGTAAATAAGATGATCTGCCAATGGAATGAGTATTTTTACTCTTAAAATAACATAATTAGATAATATGCACTTGAAATAAGATAATGCAATTGTGTTTTCTTATTTTAAATGTGAATTGTCTTGTGCCATTGGCAAAATGTCTTTTTTACCTCCTCAATTCAAAAACAAATGCACTTATTTTAAGAGAAAATCTTGCGCACCTCGCTCTTCTAGCTGGTCCATCTTCCTGAGTCTCATTTAGTGGCCATACTAACAAAACAAGCCAGTAATGTACCAAACAGGAAATACGCATAGTGTAGAGCGGATGTAGATTTGGCCAATCAGAGGCCTCCTGTATAAACCAATATAAACCAGCCTTTACACTTGGCCATTTTAACACAGGTACTGCGCCTCCCTGCTGCCACACACCTGACCTAAATGGATGTCTGATTAAGAGGCTTCTTCAGCACTTGATGTTACGCTGAGGAGGTCATGCAATCATTTGTTTGAGGTGTGCTCAAGCAGAGAACCAGCAGGAAAACATCTAAACCATTCCATTGTAGCCCTTGGTAAATGAGATGAACCTCCATCTTTGGTCTCAGACAATTTACATTTCTACCCCAGAAAAAAACTGTTATAAAAAAAACTGTTTCCATCCTTTCAGGTCTGACCAGTTTGCACAGGTAGTTTTTTTTTTCTTAATGCAGACTAAAAAGTTTTTGTTATTTTGTCAGCAGACTAGCTCACCTCCTTCCACGTGTTTGTTGGGTCCCTCTGAAGTCCTTCCACTTCACAGTTGTGCTCTATTTTGTGTCTCTATAATGCTTGGTATGTGGAGGTTTGTGCTTTTGAAAAGAAAAAATCAAAAAGGAATGAATACTTTTGCAAAACGCTGCAGTATGGGCTGAATTTTGCTCCATTATTGTTGAAATAATACAATCCAGAATTGAAACTTTTTGAGAGTAACTTTCCTGTTCTCTCATATTTTATTTTCTCTATTTTTTTAAATATTCAGGGTTTCCGCAGGTCATTAGAAATCATTAAGTCATTAAATTATTATTTTTTTAAATTAAGGCCTTAATTGGCATTGATTAATTCATTAAATGTGATTTATAGTGGCATTTAAAATGCTTTATTTTTTTTAAAAGAAACGTTTATAAAAAAAATTTCTTCAGATATATTATATATGACTGGTTCTGCGTCTTTGCGCAGAACTGCTTCCAGTTAATCGTAAAGCCGTATGTTCGGAATAGAAGCTCAGGGCACAGAAAAAGCTAGAGAATGTGGAAAATGCAAATTTCAAAGTAAGTGGCTAGAAAACGAGGTGAGGAGCGATGTTAGCACTGACGTTAGAAACACGATTATTGGTCAATATGCGTGTCAAGATCGGGCGTTTGTATTGGGCTAGAAGTGACGAGAAGATGACTTGTGAAATGTGATTTCAAAAGAATGCGATGCGTAAAATTAAATCTGAAAAAGTTAATTTTTTTTTTTTATTGAAGAAAAAAGCAGCAAAGTTATTCTCAAAACCTTTTTTGATTAAGATTTTTTTTTACTTTTGTATCTGGGTTGCATTGTTTTATTTCAAATTTCTGTTTGCAGAACATGTTCTTTTCTTGCAAAAATAATGGAACTAAATTCACTCCATACCATCATTTGTCAGTCTCTGCAGTCGTTGATTTCTCTGATGCACAAAGTCGTGATGGAAACGCATTTTTAGCTGACTTAACTTGTTTTGTGCCAAATCTGATTCAGGGAGTCTCCTCCTTCAGACTTTACCGGTACCCATATTTCTGTCCTTTATTCTTATTTTTCAAGGTTAACCTCCGGTTGGTCTTGACTTCACATTAGTTCATAAAAAATGAAAAAAAGTCTGTTCAGACCTTTATATGTTACCAACTTGGAGTTCTGATATAGAAAACAGGGCAGAGATGCACTGATCAGAGACTAGTCAACATTAACACAAGTTACATGTAGATTTAAGGTGATCCCCTTTTTTATTCTAATATAGGACATTTTCTACATACTGTTTCTAACCTTCCTAACATGTGACCTTTATTTAAACTGGGAAAAGAGAAGCAGCATCAATCGGTGTGAGAGCACTGTCAGAGAAAAGCAGGGCTTTACCTTTTTAAAATTCAGAATGAATGACTGCAGAAGCCACATTTTACAGTGTTTTACCATCTTCTTTTGGCTGAAATTAACAGGTTGAAAGTCCAATAGGACAAAACGGAGCTCAACATCGTTAAAAAAAACCTTCCTGTTGTCAGCTCAGATTATTACTCTCTCCTGCAGCCTGAACGAACCACAGGCACGCCTCAGCGTCTCTGACCCGAAGCCCGCTCCATACACGACCTTTACCAGGATGCTGGGGCTTCAGTTCAGCGAGTTTGCAAAGACCAGCCCTGCGGTTGAGCTGCATCTTAACCCGCCTCCCGTTATATTATCGGAGGTCGTTGTAAAAAAGCGAACAAAAAAAAAACAAGCAACATGTCTTTACAACAACCAAACATGTGACAGCGTGACTATGTGCAATACAAAATGACATGTATTTAGTTTTCTAAACACAAAACTATCATTTTAAAAGTTCAAAAGTGTACAAACATATTAATTTTATATATATATAAATATATATATTTCTCTTTTTACCAGTTAGAATATGCTGCTTATCTTTGTGGTTAATATTATTTACATTACGTGTTTTTATCTGTGCTGTTTTTGTTGTTGTGGTGTACAAAGAACGAGTGTTTGTGCTCTGAAAGTAACGAGCTGCGTGCCTTCCTAACTGAATGTTGTAGAGCGTGTGGCCGCTGAATGACGAAGTAGGCGAATGTGGTGAGGATGATGATGATGATGATGGGTGTTTGCAGAACTTTGTTGAATCCGGTCTCCTTCAGCCGGGCTGGTCCCGACTGCTGCAGGCCGGACGGATTCTGTTGGAAGAGGGAACAGAAATGTTAGATGAAGACGAGTAAAGCAGGTTGGATTCAGTTATTTTTCTCTCTGAAAGGTTTGAGACGCTCTAATTATCCAAAAAAGACCACATGTTAGCGTTGTTTATCTCTGTATTTTTGCCGTTTGACAATCGCCAAATCATTTGATGCTCTCTTTGTGTTGAGCTGAATTATTTTTTTTTCTTTTCTTAAAAGCGGTTAAAGCCAAACTGTTTCAGGCCATGTTTTGTTTTTTTCCCGGTTGTAATCAGAAGGTCTTTTCTGGTTGAGCGTCACAGAAGAGTGTTTGGGTTTGTTGTGCTTCGATTTTTATATCACTAATAGTATTATTTTTTTTTTGTAAATGTTTCTTTTTTTTTTTTGCCAGATCAACACAATCTTAACTGATTTGGAAGCTGTTCTTTAAAGCAGAAGCTGTTTTTCCTGAGGAGGGGGGGGGTCGTCTGACAGAGCATGCTCTGTTTACATACATCAAACATTCCTCTAATTTCAAACCACAAGTTACTCAGAGAAAAATCATATTTTGATACATTTTCTTACAACGTATTTACTTTATGGATAAAGCAAAGCAGTGTTGCTACTAAGCGTCGGTGGGTTACCTGTAAGGGTGGAAGAAACAACTGATTCCATCAAATATCAAGATATTTTATTAGACGACGTGTGCGTCTATTCAAAATGCGCCTGAATGGATCTTAAATGTAAAATGTTTTTATAGGCAAACATTAATTTAATTGTCTTACTTTTACATCATTTTTAAACCTCCAGCCACTAGGTGGCAGCGCACCGTCGCAGGCCCTATTATTCAGCTGCTCTGCACTAATTAACAAAATCTTATGAGGTTTTCCGGAGCTATATTATTATGAAAATTTTAACATATATCATATTTATTAACCCTTTAAAACCAATTGTATCATATTTGATACATGAGTTTTTTTAGACCTCTGCATCATTACTGTGATCTTACTGAAACCCTGATTTAGTGAACAGAAAACATATATAATATTCTACAGAAATGCTTCATGTATCAAAATTGATGCAAATAAATGATCTAATTTAACTTATACTTAATATATATATATATTCTTTTCTGTTATTTTTCAGAGTACAATGACAACTTTGACAGAAAATTAAAATTTTTTATTTAATTGTTTTCGTCGTTCAGGCTTTAAAGGGTTCATATTTTGGGATAAATCGTATCACAAGACAAAATTGTAATGTCTAATTCACGCGCCTAGTTAAAATAAGGTTTCTTCAGCACTTGGTTGTACTCTGTAGATCATCTAATCACTATTATTATTTGTTTATTTCTCTATTTTCTTTAAAGTAACACAGGGTGCTGCTCATTGCCAGTCAGGTGGCTGAAAAGATGCGTACGTTTTTCTTAATCTTACAAGAGAGCATTTTAATTAAGTCACCAAGGTGCTACAGATCAGCGGAGGTGACTGAGAACAACTTGGGTTGTTGCATCATTATTTCCTAATAGCGTTATATCCCGATACAACTTTTTTATTAACGATATTGACCCAATACGATTGTAGTGACTTGTTTTTACAAAGAAAACAATAAAACAAACCTAAAGCACTCGGGCTGCTGAAGGGAGCTTAGTTGACGCGCTGCCTTCTTGGATCCAATGAAAGAAGCCTGAAGTTATTTCTGAGCATTTATTGATAATTTGCGCTCTCCAACAAAATGAATTTACTGTTTTACATTTACAGACCATCTACAGCAACAGCGTTCACTTTCTGGCTGCAACATGGCGATCAAACAAAACCATAACGACCACAGAGACGGTCACAAACTGTATGTTTTTTTGTTTTGTTTTTTCCCCCAATCAGCACACCTGCTGAGAAGTTACATGTTACTCCTTTTAAACATGACGCTTCTTACTGTGACTTTCAAAATAAGACGATAAACCCCAGACGTATGGCTCTAATAAAGATAAATATGCACGAATTGCACCGGCTTTTATTACCGGTACTTATTTTATTCTGTAGTGATTTTAC